ATGCTCCAACCAACAGAGCTACCCCGCCAGGGCTGAAGGGTTGAGTCTTTTCTTGAGTTACCGAGGGTGTAAATGACCACAACTGCTCGTTAGACTTAAGTTTTCTGACCACAGGAAAATCCCAAAAGCTTTCTCCTCTTAACAGGTCTCTACTGTTTCTTCCTGACCTCTCCAGACAACCATGTCATCCGAGTCGAGCAAGAAGCGGAAGCCCAAAGTGATTCGAAGTGATGGAGCTCCAGCGGAAGGGAAGCGGAGTCGTTCTGACCCCGAGCAGGTGGGGTTCGCCGGGCTGCCGGGCTGCCATGCTGCTGAGGAAGTACAGCTTGTTGCCGGGCACCTGGCTGTGGGTTCGCAGCAGCTGAGGGTCACAGGGACAACCTTCCAGGGAGCCTCTGTTTAACCAGGTGCCCAGAATTCACTTGGCTCTCCAGAGCCGGAGTGTCCCCATCAGTTGTAGCTGCCGCATCCCAAGAACCAAGAAGACTTTTTCTTTTTTTTTTTTAATTTAAATTCTTTATTGTTGAAAGTATTACATATGTCTCCCGGGCCGCTCCTGCCCCCCAGCACATGCCCTCACCCCTCTACTTGTGTGTCCATTGGTTATGCTTATATGCATGCATGCAGTCCTTTGGTGGATCTCTTACCACCACCACCACCACCACCCCCCCCCCCCCGTTTTTATTTGTTTTTGATACTCCTCCTTCCTTACTGAATCTGTTGCTAAGCATGCATTACTTTATAATCAGAAGAGAGGAATTCTTTTCCATTTTGAAAAGAAGAAAAACATTTGATTTGAGGACCAGATCCTTTAGAGACCTGCTTTGGGTTTCATTGCTATTGTTCTCAGCCCATGTCCCTGGTCCTGACTGGGAGACTTTTACTCCCTACTCAAGGCCTGTATCCTTGCCTCCACAGGAAGGCAAATACTACAGTGAGGAGGCTGAGGTGGACCTGCGGGACCCTGGAAGAGACTATGAGCTGTACAAGTACACGTGCCAGGAGTTGCAGCGACTCATGGCCGAGATCCAGGACCTGAAGAGCAGGGGAGGCAAGGATGCGGTAAGGAGTGGACTAGGCAAATATGAACCTGGTGGGTCCGCACGGATGCACCTGTTTCACACTTACCAGAGAGAGCCCATCCTGACCTCGGCCTCCTGTCCTAGCCGTGAATAGGTCGTTGGGGCCTGGGCGCTCTAGGGACCTGTCTATTAATTTATTGGAACTTCTCATCACCATCCACTCACAAATGACAGTAATGAAAATACAGGATAATGAATTTTTTCCATAACTATAATTTGATAACTTATCCAAATGTGTATTAAGTGCTAAGTATTTTTTTTTTAAAATATATTTTTATTGATTTCAGAGAGGAAGGGAGAGGGAGAGAGACATAGAAACATCAATGAGGAGAGAGAATCATCGATTGGCTGCCTCCTGCATGCCCCACACTGGGGATCGAGCCCGCAACTCCGGGCATGTGCCCTTGACTGGAATCGAACCCGGGACTCCTTGCTCCGCAGGCCTATGCTCTATCCACTGAGCCAAACCAGCCAGGGTTAGGGCTAAGTATTTTGCTAGGTGTTGAGAAATGACATGTAAATACCCTTGCTGTT